CCCCAAAACCCCAAAACCCCAAAACCCCGAGGGAAAAAATTGAAGTTAATTGTGAGAAATTAAGCATTTAAAGTGGTATAGATTATATTAGTGATTTATTAAAATCAATCTGATTAAGCATATAAGAAAAGGACTCATGGACCATATTGAGAAAGAAATATTCGACTAGAATGATGATCATTATTTGAAATGTTGTTTCGTCTAAATAATTGATCCTCTTGGTCAATATTTTGACAGTGAGGGGAATTTGAAAGGACTTTAATCTCATAATTAAAATGACGAGATGTACCAAACAATAGAATCGAATTAGTCAAGCTAAATTCTAGCAATAAATGATCTAGTTTTAAACCACTTAGAAAAAGGAAAATTCCTTTAAAACAATATTAAACATACTGATTAAGATTAAAGTAATAATTTAAGAAGAGACTCTGATACATTTTTTGAGAGTTCTGAAATGAGTACATTACCAAATGAAAACACATAATCTTCTCAAGCTAGCAATCAACATCAACCTAAATAAATATTTTCAGTTGAGATTCTTTCGAAAAGATCCACTTAAAATTAAAACAATGCTATCCAACTTAGTTAAAATTTTTAGTCATTGTCTCCAACTCCCATCTTCACTATTCACAAAGAGCCAAGAAGTCAGGCTTCAGATCCAACTAATAATATTTTAATTAAAGGAGAATTGGATCTCGAATAAGCAAGTAGAAAGCCTAATAATACTACCTATGAGGAAGTTATAAACTGTGACACATTTTCATCAGCCCAGTTAGCTTAAAATCAAAATTTAACAGACTAGACATATTAATGGGGCTAACCACAAAAATCGCGTGGCAGACGAAAAATCGCTAAACTTGTTGAGAATTCAGATATAGTCTCATTAAAAAGGAATATCTTTAGATCACATAAATATATCATCTGCAATAACGTTAATGGCTTCACATTCAAGTTGAGAAAGAAGTATGAACATGACAAATCTCTCCTTAAAAAAATTGAAGATGTCATTTAAATGTTCCAAGAATGTTGCTCTTACGAGCATTAGAAAAAGATCTAAGGTAAATTAAGAGATGGTAACAAATACTATCATGAACTTATTGGTGACCCTTGCTATAGACATAATACAAAGAACATCATAAAGTTTTTGAAGCATCCAATCTGTAATCTCATATTCAGAGAAGCAGTATTAGAAAACCAAATATTTGAGTAAGCAAAGCTTAAGATCAAAATTCAGCCAGGTGAGCCTTTAGAATTCAAAATTAAAAAGGAGATAACCCTTCAAGATAAGCATCATTCATTAGATCTAGGAGCTATATAAAGCAGCTTTGGATATCTGAGGGGGTAAAAGTCAAAGAGGAATGTAAATGTTTGCAATTAGAAAATTAAACTAAAACTTGACATCTTAAATTCAAGATCGGTATATTTTAATGAGATAATCTATGTCTGTATTTTCTATAAAATCAATTCACTTTAAATCTGTATGTAATGTTGCAAACGGGGTTTTGGGGTTTTGGGGTTTTGGGG